ATGAAGCAATAGAATCATGCTACATTGCTCTAAAGTTTGATGTATGAAAGATATCAACAATAGATCAAAAATGAGAAAAAAAAGATGATGAAAAAAAAAAGAAAAAAATGAGAAAATGACAAAAAGGATATTCAAATTGAAAACCTGAACGGGTGATTTTGGTAGAAAAAGATCCAGGTCAAATGGCTTACACGAATAGAAGATCAAAGGCATCTGAAGATCCCTCAAAAACTGGGGTAAAGTTCGCTAAGCTCAAGATGACTTCAGCAGTAAATGAAATGAGTTTTTGAAAAAAGAATCCTAGATTAATGTTGAGAATTGTCTGAATATTCATCATTTGGACATACCATTCATCCCAATGACATGTATCCAATTTATTTCCTTTCCCATTTGTTTTGTACCAAAATAGATCTTCATTGATTATCTTTACCATAATTCACCTTGTGTTCTCTTATTGTTTTACCCCTAGAATTAATTGAAAAAATGCTTGATTGCATTGTATTTATCGAGAATTGAAATGATAATGAATGAATGAATATGTGCTTAAAAGAGTCTTACATTCATTTGAAAAGAAATCTAAGATGATGATGGTAGAAACCTAAAAGAGATGATTTAAAAAGATATATGATGTGATCAAATGGAGAATATGATGGGATAAATCTTGAAAAGTGGTATAACAAAGTGATGAGTACAAGGATGAATTGATCGATATGACTTGCAAGTTATGATTGAATGATGAAAACAATTAATGGATAAAGTTTGTTTTCGAATGGTTAATGCTGAGACACATATAAGTAATGACTCAGTAATGGTGGATGAAACTTATTCTGAAATTTTTTAATGCTGAGAATTCTATGAATGGTGGTCAAGTGATGATCGATTGATGAAACTTATTCCAAAGTATTGAGAAACTGAACAAGGAAGACATACGAAATGGTGAAGTTTTGAGAGCCACATTACCACTATTATTTAGGATTCCATGACATTATTGACGTCTGCATTAGATGCATCATGGGGGCATCATTGTTTGAATAATACATTAACATAATTTGATTGGATATGCATGGCACTATGAGAATATAGGTTACTGCATTTGCATCATTAAAAAAGCATCTGCATCTTTGGTCATAAGATTCATTCATGCAAATTTTTGAGTCATTTGAAAAAAAATTATGAATATTTTGATGAAAATTTTTTAGAACTCAAATGAGAATCTTTGAGTTTTAAAATGAAAATCTTTGAGGAGTGAAACCCTAAAGTTCATCGAATGTGAATCTTCAAACAAATGAAAAGTTTTGAACTTTTGGATGTGGATCTCCAAAATACAAAACTTCAACCTTTTGGATATGAATTTCCAATGTTTTAAATGAGAGCCTTTGAACTTAGATGTGAAACTCTAAGTTTTATTGCATGTGAGCCTTTGAACTCAAATGAAAAGCTTTGAATTTTTGGATGTGAATTTCCAAAATTCAAATGAAGAGCTTTAGACTTTTGGATATGAATTCCAAGTTTGCCAAATAAGAACCTTTAAAAAGCCTTGAACTTTTGGATGTGAGCCTTCAAAATTCAAATGAGGATCTTTGATGCGAGTCTTACAAGTTGTAAATGCAAATCTTGAGATCTTACAAATTTAAATGAAACTGAAATCTTGAGAATTAAATTTCAATAAATTCTTACAAAGTTGGAAGGCTCTTGCGAATCTGAACTTATGAATGTCAACTCAAATTATGAATCTTCGAGTTCCCATTACAAAATATCTTCAATCACGATCTATAACTCCTTTGGACATGATTGTCAAGGAGTAATTTACTTTTCAAAGTCGTGGTGCCTCTGTTTAGAGGAGCAAGCCTTTGTTTAGAAGAGCAATTTACTTTTTTAAAGTCGTGGTGCCTCTGTTTAAATGAGCAATTTACTTTTTCAAAATCGTGGTGCCTCTGTTTAGAGGAGCAATTTACTTTTCAAAGTCGTGGTGGCTCTATTTAAAGGAGCAATCTACTTTTCAAAGTCGTGATGCCTCTGCTTAGAGGAGCAATTTATTTTTTTAAAGTTGTTAAACCTCTGATTAGAGGAGCCATTTATGTTTCTCAAAGTCATTGAACCTCTGCCTAGAGGAGCTTTTATCAAAAACAAAAAAAATAAAAAAAAATAAAGAGTAAAAAGGTCGAGTTGAGTCTTGATTGGGTGTCTACGTCTTTGCGTAATTTTTGTTTCACAGAAAATGTGCAAAGAGGGGGCAGCTGTAGACACCTAATTTGGTCCAGGCCCGGATCAATTGGACCTAGTCCAAATGGGTAAGTCTACATATATATATATATATTTTTTTTCTCTTCATTTTATTTTTATTTTTATTTTGTATTTTACATTTTTTTTTATTTTTATTTTTATTATTATTATTTTATATATTTTTTTCTTTTATTATTATTTTTTTTATCTTGAGTATTTATGTATCTATTAATATTTATATATTTTTATTATTTTTTTTTCTTTTTTTTCCTGTTAATATTTATGTATTATCTGTTATTTAATTTTAATTTATCTGTTAATTTTTCTGGTTTATCTGATTTATTTTCGTTTGATTTTTTTTTATTTATTTGGCTGAAAATTAGATTGAGATCAATCAAAAGAGTCCATGTTGGATTCAATGATTGAATCCCGATCCAAAGAGGAATTGTGATTGATCAAAAAATTTTCTAATCAATCTCTATAAAAGGGACCCTCTGGAACAGAAGCAAAACACAGAAAAACAGTGAGCAAAAGCTACTGATTGAGAGAAAAAGGACGGATAGAAAATTATAGAAGGCTAAGAAAAGGTTTAAAAGTGTTTTAGGAATTAGCATGAATTTTTTGGAGATTTTTAGAGATTTTTTTCTGGGAATTTTTGGAAAATTCCATATTTCGATTGAATTTTTCGGTGAAAGTTGAACTTTTCGGTGAAAATTTTGGCCAAGTTTGAAGTTTTTGGTCAGCTGCCCAGTTTACGATGAAGGATCCCAGAAATCGATCAACTTTTCGGTGAACTTTCGACAAAAAACCTAAATTCTGACGAAAAATTTCAGAATCCGGTGAATATTCAATCGGAGTTCTTCGACCTTTTTAGAGAGAAATGAGAGAAAAAGAAAGGAAAAAAGAGTGAGGGGAGAAGCTTTCTGTCAAAAAATGAAGGAAATAGCCTTATATACCATCTCAAAACGACGTCGTTTTTGCCTTAAGTGACCTAGAAGAATCGCTCGTTTTGTCGAGATCCGACCCGACCCGAGCGTCGACCCGCTTCCTGACCTGCGCGTGTTTTACCTCCCCGAGCAGTTAGCCGAGCTAAGCCAAAGTCCCAAGCCGCTTCCCCGAGCCGTTTCTCTTCCTTGAGCCGAGCCTACTCCAAGCCACTTTAGATTTTTTTTTTTTGAATTTATTTATTTGTTTATTTATTTATTTTTTTTATTTTTTTTATTTTTTAGATTAGGTTTATTTAATAATCTTTTATCTTTATTTTATTTTTATTTTTGTTTTACTTTTCTTTATTTTTTTTTATTTTTTATTTATTTATCTTCACTTTTATTTTGTTTTATTATTCTATTTTTTTAAATAAAAATAAAAAAAAATATTTTTGGGGAAAAGTTGAAAATATCAATTTTTCTTGAAAATCAAAGTTTTCAAAAAATATTTTTGAAAAAAAGTTGAAAGTATCAATTTTTCTTAAAAATAAATTTTCAAAAAAATCAATTTTTGAGGAAAAGTTGAAAGTATCAATTTTTCTCGAAATTAAAGTTTCAAAAAAATATTTTTGAGAAAAAGTTGAAAGTATCAATTTTTTTTGCACAAAAAAAATCATTCTTTTCTTCCTTTTTATTTTGATTTTGATTTTGATTTTTTCTTTAAATAATCCGACGATTGAGCCTCTGCAAGTGAAACAGTAGTTTTTCTTACATATTCTTGAGGTGAGGGAATTTTCTCAATTTTCTGCTAAAAGTATTAGAATCAATTGAGAATAATTTTCAATAATTAATTACTCGGTAAAATTTTAAGACTCATTGGATAACACAAATTTAAGCTGGTACCATCTTTTGATGGGCGTTGTGAGGGTGCTATAACCTTCCTCACACGTAACCGAACTCTCGAACCCTGTTCTGGTTAGTAAACCTGGATCTATTCTTTTAGGGACCCTTAAACTTAAGTATTTTCTGAAAGAACAGATTCTTTAGGTGATCAATCGTATCTAGATAAAAAAGATTGATGGTGACTCTTTTAAATTAATGTCTAACGATAAATCTTCAGATCTATACGTTATAAGAGATGAAATAAATCAATAGATGGAAAGCTAGAAATTAGGCAATGAAATTGGACAACCTCTGCAATTTTTCTTAGATATTTTTCTGCCATTTCTGGTTAACCTTTTCATGCTTTGGAATTATTAAATTAATTAAAGATAATACTAATAGTAAGACTGATTTAATGGTGAGAACAGCCCAAGTTTTGTCAAATCATTATTATGGTATGGCCCACCACTTTAAAGTGTTTTCCCTTCCACCGCTGGTTTCCACTTGCAAATGTTTGATTTCATGGTATGGTCTCAATGCCTTTGGGTGTTGGCTATTTGAGATACATCCTCATCCATCTTGGATTTACGTTTCAGGTTATTTCCATCATATGTAGCCATGATGCTTTTGGGGTGATGGCAGAAATATTGTAGTTTTCATAGTTGAATTTTTAGTATAAGAGAGCTTGGAGAGTGATTGTTTTTCATATACAGATATGCTACTAATTATTTTTATTTTTCTAGATATATATTTATATGGTAAATATTGTATGAATGATTCCATTCTTTTGTTTTGTCCCACCAAAAGAATCCTATGATTTAGGTTTTAGCATATATATTTTCCATTACTCTGTACTTTTCCTCGTCTAGCTCCAATGATAGCAGACAATCTTTCATTTAGTCTCCAAAAGATTGTACGCTTTATGACCTAAAGTCATTGTAATTTGATGGTTTTCATCTCTTTCTACAGCCTGTGACTCATCAGTGGGAGATGACTCGTTGGACTACCCTTTGCTTGCTGCTAATGGCACATACGTCTTCACTGCAAATGGTTGTGTGAGATGCACGTGTGATGCTGCTAACAACTGGACGTAAGTGGATTTTCAAATGCCTTGTTCTGTAAGGAATTTGGCCTTTCAATATGCTAGTTTCTTCAGGATCTAATTATGTGTATCTATGCTGACTTGGTCAGATTACACTGTGAAGCATCCCGGAATAAACCATCCAAGTGGGATGCATGCCCATCTATGCAATGTGAAGGTTCAGCAGGTTTATCCCTTGGCGATAGTACCCCCTCGGGTTGCAATAGATCCACATGTTTCTATACTGGCTTTAACAACGCAACCATCTTCACACAACTTGTTCAGGACTCCTCTTGTTCAAGTAAGTAAATATAACCCTCTAAGCTGTCTTAATTTGCAGACATTTTTTCAGTATGTGGCTCATAGTCCAGGGCATGCAAGGGGCCATTTGTCTTCCAAATTTCAACATCTAGGAAAGGCCAAATCTTACAATCTTTCTGTTTCTCTGTTTTGAATGAACAGCATCCTCTCCGAGCAATGATGTTTCAAGAATCAGTTTGAATTGGGACTTTCTTTTCCTCTTGGTCTTGCTTTGTTTCCCTCTATTCCAGTAAAATGTTATTACTCTCAACAGGGTCCCTGTCCATCAACCTCTATTTTGCGGTATGAAAAACCGGGAGTTGAATTTTGCAATGTAAAAGATGTTTCTTTTTTATGATACTGTATCAGAAATTATTGAATTGGTCAAGGCAAATTCGATGTGGTGGTGAATAAACTCTTTCACAGTTCCCTCGAAGAGTCATCTTACATTTTGGGCTACGTAAACCATGGAATAAAATTCAAAACGGAGTGTCTTAAAGCAAATTTATTCAAATCGTGCTTCATACATGATTATGTTAATTTAAGCTAAACCAGGAATCATTTATTGAAAAGAGGGGACAAACAAGATGATGAAGCATAATTTTTGAGCTCTAAATTATGAGAAAGCATGAATTTGAATTGTAATGGCATGCAGTTTAAGAAGGGACATAATCCAAGGGGCCATAAGGTTCAAAAAGTTCAGCAAAGAATCCCTTCTTCCGTCTGGGATTCCATCCCATATCTTTGCAAAGCTGATCATTATACCAGATATGGAGAGCACCTATGCACTTTCTACGATAGTATTCACCCGAGTATTGTTTCAAGTGTTCATCCCATTTTGTTACATCTTTTTCCATCTCTTTAATGCTAGGTAGCTTGAATGTGCCATCAAGAAGTTCTGCAAGCCATCGGCATCTTATCTCTGAGGTGTACAAATCTGCAGCACTCTCAGAGAATCCGATCACGGCTAGTTGAGGTATCCTAGGCTGAATGCACTCCCTGATCAAACAAGAAACTTGATGAGAATTGGTAAATGTAGATATATAAATGTGTGGATTAATTCTCTTGGAAGAAAGAAAAAAATTTGACCTGTAGAGTGGAAGTGCTGCATCAGGGGATCCAGTTATATAGTCTTGAAAGGTTTGGGACACAAAAATGTCTTTGAGCATTTTTTCCCCATTGAATCCTGTGGCCAAGATGACCATGTCTGCTTCTACAGGTGTAGTCTCACCTTCAACCAAAACGCCATTGTGACAGAAACTGAAGCTGGGGGCCTTTTTCAATTTGATTTTTCCCTCTTCAACTTTGTCATAGAATTTTTCTGGGACCTTTGAGATCAAGCAAGAACTGATTTCTTGGAGGAAGCTATGTGTTGGGACCATGCCATGTTTTGCCAAACGAAGCTTCCTTTTTATATCACTTTCAACAAATTTTGAATATGCCCATCTCTGTCAAATATTTACAGGTTAATGAGTAATCATCCTTCATAAACATAATGGGAAAAAAAACTATACGAGTAAAGAAAATAAATTGAGGATCATCTGACTCTAACGTGAAAATAGAAAGGGAAGGAAACGAAATATGTTACCAGAGGTGCAAGAATTGTAGCTAAGAGAGCAAGGAGAAGCCCTTCACCAGGCTTATGAACCATAAGCTCTGAGAAACGATTAAGATACATATTTGCGAGTGAAAACCCCCAAGGAAGATAATCAGGGACATTCCAGTGTTCAGTCCTGCAAAAAACTGTACTAGGATTTTCCACCCCTGCAAACACCAATTGAAATTTAAAGAAATTTGTTTCCTTGGAACGATAACAAACAGTTTAGATTAAATTCTATTTAATTACCATTTGCAGCTGAGCACTCCATTGCAATGTCCAATCCATCTCTGGATAGTCCACCGAGTGTATTACCTTACCATGAAATGCTTCAGGGCCCTTGTTTGGGGGGAATTCTGGGATGTTTGGTAGACCACTGAACCGCCCCACACAAACGATTACAAAGTCCACTTGGTAAATCTGCAATAAAATTCATTGATGTCTTAATTTGAACAAAGAAAATTTACTGCATGGAAAGGAATCCAGGTAACCTTTTTTCGTATCATTTTGTAACATAAATCACCATTTGTAATTGGTAGATTAACATACCTCAGTTGAAAGGGTTTTCAGGCCTTCCACAATGACCTTCCATTTCCCTTTGGAGCTGAAGGGCTCACCAGTGCCACCCCACGAGCTCCAAGATTGAATCTCTTCGTCCTGGGGACCGTTACACTCAATACCAGCAACTTTGGTATTGAATTTGATTTGCTTAAGCAAGTCAAAATGTTGTGCATATGCCCGAATGTAATCGAAGACCTTGTATTGGTTAGGAAAATCTTCTGTGACCGAAGATGGCCAAGGAAAATCTGAGAACTGATAAAGTCGTTTGGCAGTTTGGAGCTTTGTCGTCTCCACCGTTTTGGTCCAAAGCCCTCCAACGCTGCTTTGTGATTCGAAAACAATTGGATGGAAACCCTTTGACAAGGTATACTTACAGGCAAGGAGGCCACTTATACCAGCTCCAATAATAGCCACCTGTCTCTCCATTGCCAAATTCTCTGATATGCTGATCTTCTCACCTTTTTTTGCCTCTCTCTCTATATAGACCTCTGTATACAAGAGCTTGAGAATTGAACCGACTTAGTAGATATTTCATTATAAATATTTTACTTTCTATAAATTGAACTAACTGGGTCTACTTAGTGGCATTTCTTTCTGCTTTGCTTGATGTAATTATTTATTTATTTTGAACTAGCTACATAATGACAATTCCTCGTGTTCCTTTACTGACTCTTGCAATGCTGGAAATTTTATTTTATTTGTAAGGTCCAAGATCAATGATTCTAACTTTTTATTTAATCAATGTATTCAATATAAATACTAATTAATAACACGCGAACATTTAATTTAATATTAATAATTGATGCATGATTTTTATGAATCCCCTAATCTCAAATAAAAGAATAATTATGGTAATGCTAATCTTATTAATGCATTAATATATGTTATATGATCTATGTAATTGATGAATGTTTATCTATACTTTGAACAAATTAATTAATATAATATATTTGCACCTGCTTTATTTTATTTTCTTTGGGTGAGACGAGAATGATGCCAAATTGTTGGTCATAAAAGAAAAAAAAAAAGTTAGCGGTCAAGGATTTTTAATATTATTTAATAAATATCTATTATTATTTTATAAATGAAAATTTTAAATTTTACAAATAAATTTAGTAAGATGACACTTGTATATTTAATAATAATTAAAAAATAAAATAAATGTTAATTTTTAAAATTATTTGTTGAATTAAAAATATAACAGCATGTTAATACATTACAGAGATTTTGATTTTTAGTGACATTTTTTTTTATCATTTAATGATATTTATTAACGTCACTATAAGATTTGTTACGTTTGCGAAAAATATCATGTAAAATATCATTTATACACACGTTGATAAATAACGATGTTTTCAAAAAAAAGGGATGCAATGTGTTCCACATCGAAACGTGATCAACATTTTAGCCAAAAAGCTAGGTGCATATAGTAATTAGATTCTCTCTGTTTGCACTCATTTTTTATTCAATTTGTGCCATTGCGCAATCCTACATTAAAATTGAATTTAGCCAAAATAAGCTTTCGTTTTAATTATATTTATGGATGGATGTGGTTTGATTTGCATAATTCTTGAGTATCCCCTTTTTATATTTTATTTGAACAACCGTAAAAGATTCTTATTCATTACTTAATTTTTAAAAATTCAATAATAAAACGATACGATGATAAAATTTTTTTGAATCGATCATTCAAATGAAACATCAAAGATGTAATTGATTGAGATAATGGGTTTTCAACAAAAACTGTTACTATCATGTGCAGCAACAGTCTGGCATGTTACCACTGTATGGTCTCGAAGGACAGTTCAAATTTTTTTTTTAAAAAAAAATTTTAAGTAGATAGATTGTTCAATCTTTTATGTTAAGATAAGATATATCGTATCTGATAACTTAAAATAAATGATTATAAATTATGCATTAGATATGATCCCAACAAATAATCACTGATAAAATTCGAATTTAAAATCTCTTCGTCAAAGAGAATAAATTTTAATTTATTGAATCGATCACTTATTGATCAATTTAAATTTTATGACTTATCTCATTTATACTCAATTTTAATTATCACATACACGTGATGATTGATGTTTTTGAGGATAATCGTTAGGCACATGAACTACAAAGCAAAGGCTCTCAAGTTAATAATTTGCAATTTTGTAAGAAGGGATTCACCAACACTACTTAATTTCCAAAGTTTCCTTTCTATAATCAAAGCTTCATAATTCATAAACAAACATAATCATGAGTTTATTGCCATTAACATCTACATTTATCCTATTCTTGACAAAAATCTCAATCGTTCATTTCAACTCGTGATCGAGAATTTTTTTTTTTTTATTCAACGAGAGTATTATTTTCAGCAGTTATTCTTTTTTTACTATAAGCTTCAATTAAGAACAATTCAAGGAAAAAATACAATTTTATATTTAATAATTAAGGTTCGAATTATGATTTTATAAGGCAAGTTTCAATCAACCTGATCAATGAATATATTTTTCAAAAGACAAAAATTGTGGAGAGAAGGTCTCTATCCCTATGAGACAATGATTTGAAACAGATCTAATCCAATAATCTTTGTGAATAACTTTGATGATTAATTAAAATTCTTTCCCATTTCTGATTTGAACTTGAAAAGACACAATCACTCCAAAGAAGCTGCCCTTCACTTTACTTCTGAGACTATGGAAACTATATATGTTATCATTTCTTAGCAAACCAACCACCTGATCCTCAGAAAATTTAGAGGGTAGTTATTCACCTTGTTCCTTATAAGATTCTGTGCCCCCCCCCCCCCCCCCCCCCGCGTCGCCACCTCCTATTGGTGAATTACTAATTACATAGGATATTTATAATGTTGTGGTTTAGCAAGAAAATGGCTGAATTGGGGGATAGGAGCAGAATTGACAGATTCTGATATGTATGTAAATATGGGTTAAAGGGTCCATATGGGTAGCAAGGGCATGTACTTAGCACAATTTGAACAGTAGATTCTCTTTTTTTTGGTGTACATAACAGTATCTTCTTTTATTAATAAAGTATCCATGCTGAAAAGGTGAGTCAGAGATGAGACTCGTAACCAATCACTTTCACTTTCTCTGTTATACTCTGAACCCTCTCTCACATTCAAGGGATGAATGTAAAAACTTGCCATCAGATCTTGTTGAAAGCATGCAAGGGTTTTTGCCACTTTCAGGATTAAACTTAATTTCCATTTAAAAAAATATTTTTAAGATGAATGGTTAAACCATCAGTTTTGCCATGGCAATTGCAAAACACAGTAGAGTAGAAGATTTGTTATTGATTAAAATTATTCCTATGAGAATATGCACACTGTCCTGCCACCAATTTGTTTCAAAAGCCAAATATTGAAGACTTTTTGTTGCAGAAGAGAGGGATCCCCTTTTCTTCCATGGTAGAGAATGGTGAGAGAATTTAATCATAATATTCTCTTAGGAATATGGGAAAGTTACTTGAGAGCATGAATCCAAAATTTCTTTTCAAAAGAATATTACTGCTAGGAGTAAATGGAAGGTTGTGAAGGACTGATAATTTTGATGCAAATGCCTCCCCTTGAATCAAAATCTGGGGTCCAATATTAATGCAAACACAAATGTAGCCCAGACCCCAGTGGCCACCACATAAAATAGATAATTTTTTATAAAAATAATTATAAAAAAAAAAGATTAAATATTATAAATATTAAAATTCAACTCGTAATTTTACTTAATATCACTTTTAAATATAATTATATAAACTAATTAAATTTGGTTTTGGAATAAAAAAAACAATAATGGGTTTTTGGCATTTTATACGTATTTCAAGGATGGGGGATTTGCTAAATTTGGGTATATTTTTTTGTTTTGCATGTGAACGATGGTACAAAGTTTCCACTAGTATCCAAATTATGCCGAGTCAGGAGCTTTGGAATCTCCCAATCTCGTTACTTGTAGTTCTCAATTGACGTACGGAAAGTCAAAGACAAGATAAACCCTACAGGGATGAACTTCAAATCTGCAATGTTCCAATGTTCTAACCAAAATTTACAGTCATTCCATTTGGAAAAACGCTTTGAATTTGGTTCATTTTTTAGCCCCCCCATGAAAAGGATTGCAAGATTTGAATCTATATTTATAGGAACTTGAACTTATAAAGAAGGATTTTCTCAAACCTTTTTGGGATGGCAGCCATGGATTACATATCAAGTTTCCTTTAAAAAGTTGATCAATTGATTTAAGACTGCAGAGCAGAAACAAAAAGTGATAAATGGTCAACAATGGAGATTTTGAATCATGATACATGCAATAAAGCAATAAACTCAGTCCCCTTAATTCGACCATCCAATAAAAGATTACAAGTTGTCTGTTTTTTTTTAATTAAAAAAACCCTTTTTTTCGTCCTTCAAATTTTACTGTCTTCAAATAATTTTCTTGAGCCACTCATCATCAGATTGGTGACTACAAATTATTCTAATGGATAAGGACGGTAATAATTCGAATTGAAGGAGATTTATTCGATTTTTTTAAATAATATATAATATTATAAATTTTAATTTTAATTTTAATTTTAATTTTAATTGATTTTTTTTAAATCGATTTAATATGAATCGAATTTTGTTGATTTGATTTATTTTAATTTATTGACTTTTTTATTTTTTAAATATTATTTTAATAAAATTTTAAATATTTTAAATAAATTTATATATAAAATAATTATTTTATTTTATAAACATTTAAAAAATATATAAAAGCTAATAAAAATATAATTCAATTTGGTTTGATTTTTTAATTTTTTATATGTCAATTCGAAATTTGATCTAAATTAAAATTATAGATACATTTATTAAAATTAATAATATAAATCAATAATAATAATATTATATTTCAAATTAATTTATTAAATATTTTTAAAAAAAAAACAATAAAATTCTTAATATATCAACTAAAATTAATTGATAGTAATTGTAGAGACCCAATTTGAATATAAAATTATAAAATATTAAAAATTTATTAGATGTAAAATAACTCATTTTAACAGGTTCTTATTACTTATAAGAGAAGATGAAAGAAGCTTTTCATATGACAAATTATGAAAAAACAATGAAAAAAAAATTTTAATTTTGATACTATTTAAACATCCAATTTAAAATTAATTGATTATAAATAAAAAAAATTCATCTTAAATAAAATATTATAAAATATTAAAAACTTATTATACGCGGAATAATCCACTTTAACAGTTTTAATAATATTGGGTGTCTATTTTTTTATTTTGATAACATTTTTCACATATTGTACATTACCTTTATTTTTTTTCTCTTTTTGAAATTTGATGGTGGCCAAATTTATATAATTATAACCTTGATTTTACCTCAAGGTTCTTCCTTGCTGTTTAGCAACTGCAGATTCATAGCATGAATCATTCTCGGGATATCTGGACCTGTCAAGGGGAAGAAAAAACAGATAATACAATAATAGGAGAAAGAGAGACGAATTTCATGCTACTGAAATTCAAGCACCCATAATTCCAAAAAGAAGAGAGAAAACAAAGGATAAGACAGGCAAAAAGAAGGAAAGGACCCAAATTCTACCTTTGTTTGTCGTTTGTTTTACACATCAAATTGACAT